TTTCAGTGTCCTGAATAATTCTTCAAACTTGTTCTTTGCTATGTGAAAATGCTTTGTTAAACCTGTCCAGTACTGGAATATAAAAGCACAACCAATGCTTAGTGCAGCATGAGTTAGCATACCTTTCACCTAGGAAGTTGACAATATTATTGGTGATCCCTAAAATGAGGGTATCACCAACTGTAAGGGATTATTTGAGAGCCTATAGGGAAATCCTTTCCAAATTTTTATTTGGAACTCTGATGCAATGCACACCACTACTATCAAAACTAAAAACAGTGACATCCTTTCATCTGCATTTCTGAATCAGTGATCATAATAAGGAAATATTCCTCTCTGTCAATATGCCTTTTACACGGTCCTCTGGCACAAATCACAAGATGACCTCAAATGATTTGAAACTTAAGTAGAAAGTCTTTGGAAAGAAATGTAATCTTGTCTCAGCAAGAGTCCAGATTCCTTTCTGACTTCCTGGCAATGGCCTAGAAAAGACTGTCTAGTTAATTATGATAAATTCACCTCATTTCTTTCTCAATGTGAGACAAAGTTCAAACCACTGATTGGTGAGCTGTCTCAGAGAAATCGAGATAGGAAATTGACCCCCCGTTTATTGTGGCAGTGATAATATGTACCAAATAGTGTGGATGTGAGGCTTAAATAGATAAAGCAGCTATACTTTGCACAGTGCCGGGCCCACAGTTCATCAGCGGTTACCATGATTCTTCTTTTTATCACCATCATCATAATCATCATCATCGTTATTGTCATCACTGAGTGTCTGCTTTATACCAAGCCCATATTAAAATATTAAAGGCAGAATCACATCCATTTGTATAGTTTTGTAATTTCTGGGGAGATACTTAGCCATTAAAAATTCATGATACAGTTATTCTTCAAGGAAAAGGTTTTAAGTTCACCATATTACAGGCTGTTGAGAAAGAATTTACTAATCAAATATTCTAGAAAACAGGCTACCAAAGTAGTCTCATTAAGAATATTCAACCTGAATATTAATAGATATAGGGAAATATTAAATATAATGTTATAGAAGTCAATACAAATGTGCAACAAGAAATAGAGACACATCTTAAATCAGAAAAGAATCTCTTCTGAATCGTTAACCAAGTCTTGGATCTGATGCACGCCAGAGTTTGCACCTTCCTGACTTCACCAGCAGATGTTGCTGTGAAGTAGAATAAGGCCTGCACAGTTATAAGCATCCATGGGCCGAACTCTGAGAATAACTTACTCACAATGGAAGGGAATCTTTATATTTATTTGTTTGTATTTTTGTTTGCTTATTTTTTATTTAATCCACTGGGAACAAGTTGAAAAACATTTTTATGATAACTATTTCATTTCAAAAATTATTTTAGGGTTTATAAAGCATTTTTAGATACATTATCTCTTGTTGTATCATTTTCATAATGCCCCTTCAGCAAGGTAGGTAAGTCCTGTTATCCCCAGTTTTTTGGCTAATTTGAGATTCATAAAGATTAGTTAGCAGGCCTGACATTTTATAGTTAGTGGGTAATGGTGCTAGGATTTGAATGTTGTGTTTTTGACCCCAAGCCCAGCAAGCTTTCTTCTATACTCCAGATTTATAAAACCAAATGCAAGGGTCAGCAATCTGAGTTTTCAAGTTCACTGAATCCAGGAATATATAAGTGAACACATACAATTACTTTGACCAAGATTTTTAACTTTTTGAGTGCCCTTCCTTCCTTCCTTCCTTCCTTCCTTCCTTCCTTCCTTCCTTCCTTCCTCCCTCCCTCCCTCCCTCCCTCCCTCCCTTCCTTCCTTCCTTCCTTTTCTGTCTTTTTATTTTTGGCTGTGGTGGGTCGTTACTGCTGCACGTGCGCTTTCTCTAGTTGCATCAAGTGGGGGCTACTCTTCGTCGCGGTGCGCAGGCTTCTCATTGCAGTGGCTTCTCTTGTTGCGGAGCACGGGCTCTAGGCGCGGGCTTCAGTAGTTGTGGCACCCGGGCTTCAGAAGTTGTGGCGCACGGGCTTAGTTGCTCCGCGGCATATGGGATCTTCCCAGACCAGGGCTCAAACCCATGTCCCCTGCATTGACAGGTGGATTCTTAACCTCTGAACCACCAGGGAAGTCTTTGAGTGCTATTTCTTAGTGGCTAAAATACAGTTCTGGAAACATTTGGCCTTAGTAAGCTTCTCAAAGAAGAGCTTTCTAATATAAAATTTAAGAAGAGATGAAATAAAAATCAATTATAGTTTCTTCTTTGTTTTCAAATCTGTTTATTAAAGTGAAGTTAGTTGAGTAATTGCAAATACCTAGCTCTAATATTCTATAATATATACTTAATAGTCAACTGTTCTGGATTTTTTTAAAGGAATTAATACTTAATTAAAAGCCAACTCATTGCAATAGACAAGGAAAATATATCAACTCTATCTTGTTCAGATACTCTCTCTGCAAAAAAGTTGCTCTACTTACATACATATGTAGGTACTAGAGTGACAAAGTGTCACAGTTTGCCTAGGACTGAAGGATTTCCTGGAACAGGGGACTATCAGTACTAAAGCTGGGTTGGTCCTAGGCAAACCAGGACAGTTTGTCACTCTAGCACACATACATAATATTTTATATTTTGTACATGTAATGTATTATATATTAGTTATACATGTAATTTTTCCTCTGAATAACTTGAGCCATCTTGCACAGTTCTTTTACTGTGCTATAATATGATGATGCTCTCAGTAACCATCCTGGTGAGTGAAACTCTTTGCCTATGTGCTAGACTAAGCCAGCATGCTGATATTTCTCTTTAGATTATTTTATCACTATTTTACACATTTCTTACTTCCTCCTTTTGCTGACACTGTGTATTCTAAAACTCATTAAATGCTATTAGTGTAAAGAAAAGAGTCAGATAGCCAGCTTCCTGAGACTGTAAAGTGTATTTTGTACATATAGTCTGAGTATTTTGAGGGAATAAAGTGCTTGGTCTTTTTTATTAAAACGAAAAATTGCTCCACGGGATCAGGATTAGATTAAGTGGTCAACCAATAGTGGATTGAAGAAAAGATAAAGGTGTATTTTTTTGTTGTTGTTGTGTAAAAGAAGTGCAGGGACAGGCAGCCTAGGGCTGGCAAGACAGCTTCATAATATTAAAGGCCCAAGCTTATTCTATATTGTTATGCTAAATCTCTTGATCTAAGAGATGGTTGCTGAAATTCCAGCCGTGATTAACATATTCCCATCGGTCAGAAGGAGGAAGGGAAAGGGAATCACATTCGTTATTTCACCATCAGCCAGAACATAGTCATTTGGCCACATCTAGCTGCAATTGATGCTGGAAAATAAGAGACTTTACTCCGAGTGGCCATACATACCATTAAAACCAGAATTCTGTTACTTAGGAAAAGAGGGAAAATCGATATCAGGGAACAATTAGAAGTCCCTAGAACACTTATCCAGATTTACTGCTGTAGCAGAGGTAATTTCTACTTTAGTAACTCAAGGGTTACTTTCTTTTTTTCAGTTTGTTTCTTCTCTGCCTTCAACATGTAATTGCTGTTAAAAATTAAAAGTTCCCTTACATTTAACTCTATCAGCATATGAATTTGCATATCTCTTGGCCAGCATCATCTTGGGTCTCTTGAACAGATGTAATTCATGCTGAAATGTGAAAAGGAATTGAAAGCATGCCTAACTCTCTGCTGAAGGTTCGGTCAAGTATTTCCTCCTTCAGCTCAGCATTCAGAGTCATAGACAGTGGCTAAACAGGGACTGTAACCTTGAATTATGTAATCTCCGAGTGTCTGAGACTGACCTGTGACCTCAAAACTGGGAAGGATTTTCTTTGAGACACTTCACTCTGGCTTTGTGGGTCTCACGAGTAGGGTGAAGCTGTATTGATACCATGAGTATATCTTCAAAGATTCCTAGATTTATAGAATTTCACTGGACACTAAGAGTTTTGTTTGTGTTTTTTTTTTATGATTTTTTTTTTTTTTTTTTTTTTTTTGCGGTACGCAGGCCTCTCACTGTTGTGGCCTCTCCCGCTGCGGAGCACAGGCTCCGGACGCGCAGGCCCAGCGGCCATGGCTCACAGGCCCAGCCGCTCCGCGGCACGTGGGATCCCCCCAAACCGGGACACGAACCCGCGTCCCCTGCATTAGCAGGCGGACTCTCAACCACTGTGCCACCAGGGAAGCCCTGGACACTAAGAGTTTAACCCCCTCCTTTTACTGAGAAGTTGCAGAGGAGTTAAATAACTTGTCTAGACAAGACCAGGATAGTTAGTTACAAAATGTGGTTTGACAATTACTCCTGGCTCCCTTCTCCACACCTCATGAACAGGAGATGACCTGTGGTTGTTCAGGTCCTACCTTTAGGTGGACACATCATCACTGTGGTTCTACCACATTTCCTACTGATGTTCACATGTGGCTTTGTGGTTCTTCTGTCAGCCCTTGCTTGCGTCGCCTCTACAGGAAGAGAACATTAGTGTGGTAGAGAGTTATCTCCCCATCTACAGGTTGAAGGGACTTGACTGTTCTCTCCTTTATGCGTAAGAGAATGGGATGTGTACTAAGGGCAGAAGTCATTGTTTCTGTTCCAGATTTTTAGATCTCCCCAATAACAGTCCTAAACCATCTCTTGCAGGTATCATGTGAATCTGAGGAACTCTGAATATAATTCATATTTTTTCCCCTGTATACATGGGACAGAAAGTTGTGTATGCTCATAGCATCATCAAATTGGAAGGAATCATTATTTCTTCAATTCCTTGATTTCTCAGTTGAGGAAACTAAAACCCAGAGAGATGAATTGACTTAGCCAAGATCATATTTCTTGCCTATGATTTATAGGAAGCCAATGCTTAAAACAACTCTATAGTTTGTTTCTAACGATAGTAACTATTACTATTTACATAACAGATTAGTATCTGAAAACTAATTGCCTGCTTTAGATTAAAAAAAAGTATGGATTTGCTCCCAAACATTTTAAATTTATAATTAGATGACATGGACTCATTTTTATAAAATATTTTATTTACAGAAGAGATTTACAAAAATAGTCTCAATAAAATTAATACAAAACCATTTTACAATATAACTTATATAACTATCTCCTCAAAAAATGACATTTGATTATAACACACACTACATTTGTATTTGTTAAGTCACATGGTAGTATAAATATGTTCTATCATCATTTTTTCATAATAAGGTATGTACCAAATACAATGAACAGTGGACAGTAAATGTTATTTTATTATTCTTCCAATGTAAAATTCATCTCTGGCCAAAACAAAATTAGCCAAAGAAAAGTAAAACAATTGTCCTTCTGTTCAACCATACAGTCTTTTTTCATTATTTGAGAGTTTATCTGACAAAGACACAGCATTAATCTGAAAGCACATGGCATAAAGTCTAGTAACAATATCCCCAAAAGCCTTCTCCAATGTCTCCCCTTCGACTATTTATTCAGTATTTTGCCAAGATAAATAAAGATTGATCTCAACTCTCTCCTTCATTAGTCTCAAGTGTTCTTAGTAATGCATTCAGGTTTTTAGACCTTCCCAAGTGGCATATGCTTAAAATGTGAGTTTCTTTCTTTGGCTTTAAGTAGAGTTTCACCACACTTAAGAAACGTACTGCGCTCCTCCGTGGGGCTGAATCTCCGTGACTGCCCACCCAACCACATTGCCCCGGATGTGACAGGACTCTGCTCCTCCGGTCTTTCTTATGTCTTCATTGCTGAGAACATGATCCCAGATGTTGAAGCCCGTGAGTCTGCCAGAAAAGGCTAATGTCTCATCAAAGCCACCACCCACACAGCAGCCGTTCTTTTCTTGGCCAACCTGCAGGATTCCTCCTTCGGGAACAACGTGACCCGTGGCCATGTCTACAGTGGCGGCCACCAGGTCACCATTTACCCACAAGGCCACGTGCCCTTTCTCTGAATTCCAGGTGCTGCACAGATGGGTCCACGTTCCCAGGGAAATCACAGTATCGGTGACCAGTCTGTTTTCCTCTCCACCCACCACAAGCACGATGGACTGATAGCTGAGGTACAGCTGGATCTCATACGGATTCCTCTTTGTGCCATAGGAAAACAGGACAGTTTTGTTTAACACATCTGTGGCTTTGACCCAAATGCAGGCACTGAAAGCCTCAAGTTTCATTGGTGTTGCTGGATGCACACTTGCAAAAATCTTCTTGGAACGCATGGGAAATAAAATCGCTGTTTCACAACCTAGAGTAGCAAGGGAGTAAGAATATGAAAGAAAATACAAATTCATTCCGAAATGATTCTGGCAGTTAGGCATTTTAGGATGGGCCTTTTAATGACTACGGTTAAAAACTATATGCAGCAATATGTTATGACTTGAGGGGCCCAAGTATAAAATCTCTATAAAGGAAAGAAAACAGGAATAAGGAAAATCAACTGTCTCATTCAGAAGCATGTAAATGGAAAAGAAGGCACACAGAGAAATGGTAAAATTGGGTTTGAACTTGGGCACTCTGGCAGCAGGAGCCACACCCTTAACCAGCACACTGCATTGCCTCTTAGTGGTAGAAGAAGCCCTGGATTTGGCTAAAAGAGCTGGAATTCAGTTTGTTTTACTACTAGTAAGCTGTGTTGCTTTCGATGAGCCCCACAGTCTCTCCAGGCTTTATAGTTATCTGTCAAAGGCTCTTCCATTCTCCTTGTAATATTCTGCAAGTCCGTAAAGAACAAGCATGTAGCAGTCGAGAAGAGCTCTGTGGACCAAAGATATGCTTAAAAATTCTTACTCTGTCCACATGCTTATAAATGCTATGTAAGCCGTAACAGAAAACCTTTAAGGAAGAGTGAATTCTTCCGAGGGGTCGGATAGAGTATATATTTCTGCTAATACGCACTTAGAAGGAGACTTTCAAACTTGGGGGTTGGGAGCTTAGTAAATTCCCACTTCTGTCCATCTCCAGGTCACATGGCCAAGTCAGGGAGCTGCAGCTGCTGAAGTGAAGACCTTTTAGGTGTCTCTAGGAAATAATGTGCTAAAGCCTTTAACAAGTGAGCTCTGCCTTGTGCTAACCTCATATATGCATAAAAGACCATATAAAGAAAGAATTTTAAAAAATCTAAAGTAGGGCTAGGTATTCAGTTTGTAACAACCTAAAGAAGATTTACCATAAGATACCTTTAAAAAGCAAACTCTCAGAGCTTTTAAAGACTAACTGGTGAATAGAACTTACAGGAACCAAATATCCACGCAAAGTGTGGTAAACTAAGCTAACTGCCTACAAGTGGCTGAAGGCTAGGCTCCATTCTGAAAAAATTAAGCAGATGGACCTTATCCTTTAGAAATAGTCAGAGAAGATAATGAGGTTCAGAAAATCCTAGAAAAATAACTATCATACTAAAGCACAAAATTGGTCCTGTCATACTTTGGTATTAACTTTTTCACTGAATAATTTGAATTTCTGAAGATTTTTTTAAATTAATTTTTAATGAGGTGTTGATTCTTTTTTCAGATGAAATTGGTAGGTACATGCTTTTCTAGCTATGTTATTTAAATCAATCAAAGATCATGGAACAAAAGATCACCATATGCATGGGCATTTGACATACTCTCTGTAATGTTTCAGTAGTGTTCAGAGCGGGTGCCAACTACAGTCTCATGAACTGATTTCCTGTTTAAATAAGCCCAGGCAGTTAGGATTGCATTCCAAAGCCTTTCTTGATTGCTTCTCAGAGACCCAGCTTCCCCTGTTGGCTGCACTGGTTATGTGAGTTCATGAGTAGAACTGCATGTTGACAAGTTTTTTTGTGGCTTCTTTTGGGGGCCAGTGATTGAGGCTCTTGATATGTCTTTAAAATGTCAGAAACTCTCTCATGAGATGGCTTTTAACTAATAGGTTTTTCTGATTATATTATCAAAGACCAAACAGAATTAAAACCAGGTTCTTAAGAGGCTGACAACAGAATGATTAGGAATCCCTTAGGAGCCAAGCTGGCAGGAAACCAAGAGAGAAGAAATCAAAGCATGTGGGTAAAAGTATTAGTAGAGGATGTATTATAATAAGAAATTAACATTTTTGAATTCAGAAATACATCCCTCTTCTGCTCTAACTAGTATGCAGAGGTGGAAGTGAAACAGCGTAATTCTTCAGTTTTCCTGGTATGTGATATGTACAATGATTTATACATGGTTTGCAAAAGACAAGAAATTTCATCCATTAAAACAGCTAAAGAATTATAATTTGTCTCCTTGTCACTTACATTGAGGATCTATTGTATATTTGATTTTATGATTTTTCCCCCCTCTGAAGCCCTACTTAATATTTTAAAAAATATGTTCTGTACTGATAGTCCTCAGTTATTTAGGAAAGACTCATATTCTGGTATGGTTTCTGCAATTTTAAATGCAACATGCTCTCACACATGCATGATTCTTCTCCTACCCCATCCAATAAGAGTTGCTTTATTGGACATAAAGAAAGGATGGTGCTTTTTGTAATTGTTTTCTGTTCATAAGATGCTCAGGAAAAGTGTAAGTCATATTTTCTTACATAGGACACAGATTTTCTAATGTAACCCACAATTGTTACATCACCATTTCTTAGAAATTTTGACTTACAAAGGAGTGTTACTTGGCTCCAAATCTACTCTTTATTTCCTTGAACTGTCTTTCGAATGTATTATTTTGAGCTCACATGTGTTTGAAAATTCACTTAGTATTACATGGGACTTCGACAGGTTGCATCTGGTTTGAACTGCCTCTCTCCTGTTTCACCCTGATCCTCCTCATCCCTGGGGTGCCACCTGGATACCAGTTGGCTCCTACATCTTACTGTCTCTCTTTGGATCCCTCAGCCTCTGGTTTATTCCAAACCTCACACCCTGGACCTCACTCTGGCGCTCATTTCACAGACCCGAGGGCTGGGGGGACCCCTTGGGAGATCAGATTCAGCCTCAAGTCTTTTGTTTGGAACAGGCAGGGAGGAGGGGCCAGCCCAGGGATTGGAAAACCTTCCTAAAAATTAGGCTGTGCCCTGAAATAGCGCGGGGAACCAGAGCTCCCCTAAAGAGAGAAGCCGGCTAAAATTAGACGAAGTGGAAATCCCTAACGGAGGGAAGCTGACACCGAGAGAGGTCACGGTTATAACCGGCCAATAGAGCTCCTGTAACGCCTGGTCGGATCGGGTGTCAGTGTGGGGCCCCTTGACGTCTATTTCAAGACTGTGATGATTACGTGCACATCTATCCTCTGGATTCCTCGGGACTGGAGACTACTTTTGAAAGCAATTTTCCCGCCTTGTATGGTGTGTCTGAGCTCTGTGACCATGCATGGAGAAACAGAAGGGGGTGTGTGTGTGTTTCTTCTCACTAAAGCCTCCCGTAGAGGGTTGGCTGACTCGGCTTCCCGCAACTCGCGCTCCGAGAACGAAGCCGCGTGGGGGTCCCCGCCCGGTCCAGCGTCCTCACCTGCTGGCAGCCAGCGTCCTGCCGCCCAGCCCTGCACAGCGCGGAGGTCGGCCTGCGTCTGCCGCAGCTCCTCGAGCACTGCGCCAAGGGCCCGCCCCGCCTCCTCCTGCGGCTGCAGCGTCCCGGCTTCCTCCAGGCGCGCCAGCCTGCGGCTCGCGTCGCGGCTCGCCTGCAGCAGCTCATCCAGCGCCCGGGCCAGCCTGGCCTCGGCGGGGGCCACCGGCGTGCACAGCCTCGCCAGGCTGCCCGCCAGCCGGCCCAGCTCGGCCCGCAGCTTCTGCAGCTCACCCCGGAGGACGTCGTCGGTGGCCTGCAGCAGCATGCCCTCCCGCATCTGCGAGTTCTCCAGCATGATGAAAAGCTTGTCCCACTCGGAGTTCTCCCGACTGCAGTCGCACGGCGTAGCTAGAGAACGGGACACACGCGTTACCGACCCACCCAGGCCCTCCTCGGGTGCGCCTTGTAAAATGCCGACCTCCCTCGGTGGTCCCAAGTACTCATCCCCAGTACCGCCCCCCCTTTCCTTTCAGGATACCTGCAAAAAACCAGCATGTAAATATCTCGAGTATGACAGAAACCATGCGAGTTTATATGAAGTTGAACTCTATGAAATTGCCGTTCATGGAGCTCAAAACGAGAATATAGACGATTTCATACAGTTCGACCCATTATGTATCTCTGACAGAAGTAACTTTTTGAAAACGCTCCCTTCCCTAACGTGCTTTTCTCTTTTGTAAAACAAACTAATTTTTTTGCTTATTTCATTGGCTACAAAATATATGTATAATACTTAGACCCAAAGAGGCGGCTATGTAATTAGGGTTAGCAGAGAAACAGTTAAAATGAACTTACGGTCCTCAGTGGGATGGAGTCCATTGTCTATTTCATTGTCCAGATTCACATACATGAGCTCATATTCATCCGAGTTCTCGGCCGACACTGCAGACCAGAGAGCACAAAACAGAATCACAGGGAGATGCATTGCTGAAGAGACAAAGTTCTTCCCACAGACGTCGGGAGGGGACGAGACAAGAGGCTCTCAAGTGAGTGGAGAAGCAGCGGAGGAGAGTGAGAGGCAGGAGCTGAGAGCCCTTAATAAATGCTGGGGAAGGTCTGAATGGGGATGAATGAGTAATGCCAGTGGCACTGCGTTCACGGGAGTTCCCCTGAATTGGGGGGGGGGGGGGGGGGGTGGGAGGGCGAAGGAGACGTGGGGAGTTGCACAATAGTAAACCACAAAGGTTTGCACTGCAGTCAGATTAATTGGAAGAGGGTCAGAGGCGAAAGAGGTGGGGAGACTGGGCTAGGACTGTCTCTCCCAGGGGATTAGCTGTTGTAACTTGAATTGGTAGCACTGAAGGATGAGAGGGAGGGGAGGGGTATTAGGGGGAGAAATAATTCAGCAGGCATAGAGGTGTGAAAGCAAGAGCATCATTTCAGCATTTTGTGTGCACTCGCATTGTTTCACCACCGTTATGTATAGAAAACTTCTTTTCACTTTTCTTTGTACACAGTTTTACAGGTCTAAACTGTGAAAGTTACTCTGATTTCAAGATAAACCAACACAGTAAAAATTTGTATGGCTCTAGAAGCCAAATCCATTCCGAGTTATTCCACCTTTAATCCTTCTGGAGTTGCAACTATACTTTTATAAATGGACTTTCTAATGACAAACACAGCAAAACTGGTAAACCTAGAATGAGAAGGAGCTGGGGAAAAGGAATTAACTGATTTTAGGTGTGTTTCTTTTCATAACCTGAAATTATGTGGATATATTATTTCACTAGGCTTAGAGTCAAAGATCATATTTCTAAAGTAAATTTAGGGATTCCTGCTTCTGCCAATATATGGAGATCTATATAAGCTGAAAACTCTGGTGAAAAAAAACCTAGAAATGTGTTTACATTAGAATAATAATAAGAACTTAAAATGTACAAATAAGCTTCCAATAAAGTAAGGGAGATATCCAGAGGCCAAAGAGAGGGAACCAAAAACAGACCCAAGAGCTGATGCTAGGCCCCCTCCCCCGAGGGGAGGTGAAGGGGAGGACATGTTGTCCGTTCTGTGATAACCAAGTGTTAATGGCCATATGGGAACAAGGCTTAGGCCAGGATGAGGAGTTACCTATTGGATTTCAGTTGGTCTCTGCCCTAGCTCAAGAAAGTGAGAAGTAAGCATAGCTCTCTTTGACTGAACTCTACAGGGTCTCTGAGAGTTTGTGACTTTGGGCCTGCCCTCATACATGTTCCAGATTCAAATGTATACTGTCTGACACATATTTATTATTAAAAATAAATTCATAATAAAAATTATTTAAACATATGAGGGAACAATCCACCATAAATTAGAACCAACAGAAACCAAAAGGGATTAGACACCCCTCCCTCAAGAATTTCACTTATTTAAAATATCAGCTAGAAACTAGAAAATAAGTGTGTTTAAAGTGATTTAAGATCTACAAGAAGGAATTGGAAACATGAAAAAAGAAAAAGACACTGATGTTTTTTAAAGAATCAAATATAACTTCTAGAATTAAAAAAAAGTTAATTGAAATTTTTAAAACATTCAAGGAATGGATTAAATGACAAATTAGGCTGAAGCTGAAGAGAATATTAAGGAACTGGAAGAAAGAGCTAAGAAAGTAACTCTAAAATCCTTTCATTGTTCAAGACAGGAAAATTAATTTTTCTTTGTTAGTTCAAGAATGTTTATCTTTTAAAGGACAGCCACCAAAACCAAAAGGAAATAAAATGTCCAAATGGAAGGAATAGAGTGAATTAAAAAAAAAAAAAAAAAACTTGACCTATTCAATAGGAAGCAGTGAAGTAGGGAAGAAAAGCATAGACAGAGCAAGATAAGTAAAAAGCACAATGTAATGTAAAAATAAATCCAAATATACCAGTAATCACTATAAATATTAATGAAACAAACTTTCAGTTAAGAGACAAATGTTTGTCAGATAGAAATATTTTTTAAGTCCAGCTATAAGTCACTTACAAGAGTCACACATAAAACATAAGAATCTAGAAATCTCGAAAACAAAAAAATTTAAAAGTGGTGAGAGAATATACCAAACAAGGGCAATTCAAAAAAGCTAGCATAGTTGTATTAATATCAGTCAAAAGTAGACTTTATTTTTTTTTTATTTTTTATTTTTGCTGAGGGATTTTTTTTTTCATTTTAACATCTTTATTAAAAGTAGACTTTAAAGCAAAGAGAGAAATTAAATTATGATGAAATGCTTTACCAGGAAGATATCTCAGAACTATCTGGTAGTTTCAAAAAAATACGCCAAATATTGACAGACTTATAAGAAGAAATTGACAAATCCATAATCATAAAGACAGATTTTAACGTACTTCTCATAACTGATAGGTTCACTTCTGTCATAACTGATCATTCAAATGCCAAAAAACTGCGAAAGGATACAGAAATTTAAACTACATAATTTAAATTTTGATATGATGAAATATATGGAACATTGCTCAGAAGGTTTGATAAGCAAGTTCTACCAAGCAAGGAACATGTAATCCCCATTTTATATAAACGGCCTCTGAGAATAGAGTGTGCAGGAATGCACTAAATTCTTTTTATATGTCTAGTAAGTATGATACTAAAAAGAGACAAGGTCAGTACAAGAAAGGAAGACTGCAAGTCAGTCTCATTTAAGGATATAGATGTGAAAGCTCTAAATGAAGTATGAGCCAAAATCCAGCAATCTATGCATTAAAATGCATCATAACCAAGCTGAGTGTATTCTAAGAGTATAAGATTGATTAAACATTAGAATATTCATTAATTTACTACAATAACAAGTTAAAGGAGAAATCATATGGTCATGTGGACAGGTGCAGAAAAATCGTTTAATAAAATTCAACACTCATTCATGTTCAAACTAGGAAAAAGACAGGAACTTAAACTGATAAAATCTAAATACCAAAAATGTGTAGAAACATGTACATACATTATGATGAATCCTTAGAAACATACTCTCTAAAGACAGGAATAATAAAACGATACCAGTGGACACTGGTTCTATTCATCAAAGTGTTTGAGGTCCCAGCCGGTAAAGTAGGACAAAAAACAAATGTAAGGAATAAGGATGGAAAGAAACGAAGTTTTCATCAGTTATTGTAAGTTGATTATCTATATGCAGAAAATCTAAGAGACTCTGAAGACAGTTTATTAATAAAAGAACTAAACTTTTGCTGGATGAAAGGTCAATGTACAAAAATCAGTCGCTTTCTTAATGCAGCACATAAATAGAAAATATCTTTAAAAGACCAAAAACTTTCATTTACAATAGCAACAACAAATATGGAATACCTAGGAATCTATTTAACAAAAGATATATAAGGTACAGCTAATATCACAAAACTTTGAAAGACATAAAAAAATGACATAGATAGAAGAATATATCAAGTTCTTGAATAAGAAAACTCAGTTTCACAGAGATGTCAATTATTCCAAATTAGTCTATATATTCAATGTGAAGAAAAAAATCCTAACCTAGTTTTTCAAGGAAGTTGACAAACTAATGGTAAAATTTATATAAAGTAGAGGAATTTGAAGTAGAAGATGAAGAAATTTGCCCTGTGAGATATAATGATTTATTATAAAGTTATTGTAATGAAGAAAATATATAATTGGTGAAGGTATGACAAATAACCAGAAACAGATCCAGATACATGGGAAACTTTATATATGAAAGAGGTATTACAAATCAGAAGGGAAACAGTTGGCCACTCAATAAATTGATCTGGGACAATTGTTTATATACACACAAATATATATTTATAATTAGATCCCTTCCTCATATATACAAAAAGTAAAATCCAGATGGATTAAAGACAAACATAAAAACGAAATCATAGGTCTTCCCTGGTGGCACAATGGTTAAGAATCCGCCTGCCATTGCAGGGGACACAGGTTCGAACCCTGGTCCAGGAAGATCCCGCATGCCACGGAGCAACTAAGCCCGTGCGCCACACCTACTCAGCCTGCACTCTAGAGCCCCAGAGCCACAACTACTGAAGCCTGCGCGCCTAGAGCCCGTGCTCTGCAACAAGAGAAGCCACTGCAATGAGAAGCACATGCACTGCAGCGAAGAGTAGCCCCCACTCGCCGCAACTAGAGAAAGCCTGCACGCAGCAGCGAAGACCCAATGCGGCCAAATAAATAAAATAAATTTAAAAAAGAATCATAATGCTTTTAGTAGAAAATATAGTAGAATATTTTTATGAACATATTCATTATATTAGGGAAAAATTTCTCAATAACAAAATCTTTAAAAACCATAAAATAAAAAATTTAAAAATCAACTCCATTAGGATTGCAACTTTAAAACTAATAGACCAAATATTAGTATCCAGAATAAATAAGGAACTTCTACAAATCAATAAGAAAACACAAACATCCCAATCGAAAATAAGTAAAGGATATGAATGGCCAAATCACGGCAGAGGAAATGACCTGAAAACATATAAAAATGGTGCTCAGCCTTACAAGTGAGTAAATAAATGAAAATTAAAACAAAAAATGAGGTGTCACCTTACACCCCATCAGATTGGCAAAAACCGATGTCTGTCAAGACCAAATGTTGGCAACAGAAACATTCATGCTCCTGGTGGGTATGTAAATTGTTATAATCGTGATGGTAGGCAGAATAATGAACCCCTCCCCAAAGATATCCACATCTTAATCCCCATGACCTGTGAACATGTTGTGTTTCATTGCACAGAAGATGGAATTAAGGTTACCATATAAGGAGATAATCTTAGATTATCCAGATGGACACAGTGTCACCACAAGGGTGCTTAAGTGGAAGAGAGGCAGAAGAGAGAAGCAGAGGAAGAGATGTAGTGACAGAAGCAGGATCAAAGAGTTGCTCTGTAGCTGACTTTGAAGATGGAGGAAGGAGACCCCAAAGCAAGGAATGCTGGTGGTCTCCAGAAGCTAGAAAAGCCAAGAAACGGTTCCTTCCTACAACCTCCAGGAAGGATCCCAGGCCTTCCAGTACCTGGATTTTAGCCCAGTGAGACTCATGCCAGACTTCTGTATTATGGAAATATAATAAATTTGTGTTATTTTGGGCCACAGTTTTTGTCAGTTTCTTATGGCAGCTATAGAAAACTACTACAACCACGTTGCAAAGAAATTTTGGAACATCTAGAAACTTAACTCCGAGGGAAAACCCCACTGCTTTGCTACTTAATTATGTGGTCCAGGGACCATCAACATCACTTGAGAGCCTGTTAGAAATTCAGATTCTCAGGCTGTACCTCCAATCTGTTGAATCAGTATCTGTGTTTTAACAAGTTGCCCACGTCATTTCTAAGCACATTAAGCTCAGAATCAGTACCCAAGGGAATATCACCCATTTATGCACAACGAAATAGTCTAAAAATTGCAGCACTATTGGTGAAAGCAAATAATAATAATAATAACAATAATAAAAATCTTCCAACCATATAGTATATGAATAAATTGCTGCATATTTATACAATAGAATACCATACAGTTGTGAGAATAAATGAAGGAGAACTTCTTGGATATAAAACTTCAGTACAATGTTGGATGGGAAAAAATATGTTGCACAAAGATATGTACAATATACTATTGATATAAAATTTTAAAGCATGCAAAGAACACTGTAAATGCTTATTGATATATTCACATACAATTGAAGTGTAAAAACATTCACGAAGATGGTAAACACCAATTTCAGGTTGGTGGTTGCCTCTGGGGAGAAAAGGAAGTGAGTGGGGTGGGAAGCAATTATGGTACAAGGTTAAGTTTTGGTAAAGCTGGTTGGTAGGCACAGCAGTGGTCCTTATATTTTTGCCTATATTTGTCTAATGGCTTGAAATATTTCATAATGAAGAAGAATATATTAGTTTATGAATGAAATTTATAGGATTTCTACACCAAAGTGTCTTCATCAGTTTCAAATTTTTAAAAAAGCCCTTATTTATTTTTGTATTCTTTGATCAAAATCCAAGTCAGCTAAAGATGACTAATCTGGGTTTTCCCTCTTCAGGGGTCCCAGGACCTTTAATGAGTATTGTTCCTGTCTTCAATTACAATGACAGTTCCATTTATTGTGACCTTTTTTAGCAGTTAATCAGTATGTCTACATAGCTAAGTTCTATGAGCTAATGTGCTTTGTAGAGATTGGGCATGACATTGACAATTCCTGATCCTTTAAGAAAAAGCTCTTAGTAAAATTAGTAAAAATAAGCAAAAATAAATTAAAAAATAAAACAATGTTTTTTACATTTAAAAAAAAACCTGAATATTTCCAATACCTTGGAGTCTGTGAGCATATGCCTAAAATCTGTTTGAGACTAATTCTATGAACCATGTGTGGAAAAAGCAATTCTCATTATTTATCGTCACCAAGATATATTCACCATGACCCAGGATCACCCTTTCATTAAATTTAGTCATAGAGATTCTGAAAATTCTGGCCTTATTTTCTTAATCCTCATATCTAAATGTCCCCACCATTTAGTAAGGGTCTACACATGTATAATCACTGCTTATTTGATTCTTTCTGTGTAAGTCTTCTATATACAGAGCCAAATTTAAAGTAAATAGAAGCAAGAAAATTCTTGTTCGAGAAATCCCTAGAAACAAATTCTGAGACATTTAAGTTCTTGAGAGGATTTTTCGAAAAAATCCATACCATAAAATGATAAGCAGATGTTTCCCATATGTTGTTTGCTGATGAGTCCCTGCAAACCTTACATCATATTTTTTTCTTCAGGTTCCGCCATTTTAAACCCAGTTGTCCATACAAGTCTTTGAGGCAGGTCACCTGTGAGAAACAACCTGAGTGTAAACTTCCCTTGAAATAGTGCAGAAATTGGGGATCTAAATTTGCATTGCTACTTTTCTAACTATTCGTAAAAATAAGGCATAGTTTCCACGTATCAGTTGTCTGAATCATGCCTCCATATCTCTCAGGAACATGAATACATTCCTCTGCACTTTTTTTTTTTTAGTTCAGTTTCATTTAGATTCATGCTTATGTCACCGCTTAGTTTTCATTTAAACAGCATCCAAATGTTGTTTTTCGTCAGGAATTCTTTATTGGAACTGTTTCCTTCTCAAGGGTGTTGTCTGGTTACTGTCAAATTTTCTTTTCCCCATGGTGCATTACTCAGGAAAAATTTTCATTAGATAATAATGCTGATCATATCATAAAATATTCCCTTTTATGGAATCTGTTTAAATAATGATTCAGTGATTTTTCAGAATAAGGTACCATGTTATTTTTAGCAGAGGATTTGGCCATTAGTCTGTGCTGTTTAATATGTGAGGAGGTCCAAAATTTGTTGCATTGATAATAATGGTATTCTATGGCTCATGGGCTGATAAAGTCATCATTTCTGTTATTATTCCTTCAACAGGTAATGCCATGTTGTTGAGGGTGTTACCTGCTGTGTACGATAAGCAGCCTCAGCCAATTAACAGACACCTGACAGAACTCCTAGCCTTGATGTCTCAGCTGGAACAACCAGAACAGTACCATCTTTTACGGCTTTTGCATGTAGCTGCAAAGAGGAAGCAACCGGAGGTAAAGTTTACGTTATATACCTGATGGTTCATACAACCGGGTCTGTTTCTGGGTATGTGGACAGGAGGTATGCTTCAGCTTTCCTCTCTCATGTATTTGTGCATGCTCACCTTTACATAAAAGCACTCATTCACTTCTTCTAGAATCATAAAAGTGAGGAGGTAATGGCAGAAGTTGGATACTGTCTTAGTGTTCTCTAGAGAAACAGAAGCAATAGAATGAATCTGTCAATCAATCTGTCTATCTATCTGTACATACATACATACATACATATTTATCATGAGGAATTAGAGTTGGCTTATGCAATTATGAGGCTAAAAAGTCCCACAATCTGCCGTCTGCAAGCCGAGGACCCAGGAGAGCGAGTGATATAGTTCCAGTCCAAGGACCTGAGGACCAGAGGGCTGAGGGTGTAAGTCCCAGCCTGAGGCCCGGGGAAGACTGATGTCCCAGCTCAAGCAGTCATATGCAGGCCTTCAACAAATTGGATGTGGTTCACTCACACTGGAGGGGGCAATCTGCTTTCTCATTCTACTGATTTAGATGCCAGTATCATCTGGAAACACCCTCACAGACATACCCAGAGTAATGTTAAACCAAATATCTGGGCACCCTCTGACTCTGTGAAGCTGACACATGAAATTAACCACCACAAGTACAGTAATACAAACACAACCAATGTGCAAATCTGTAGCCATTGCAGGACAGCTTTAGTGAAAGGTCAGTGTGGTCGTGCAGTCCTAGGAATCTACAGTTTCTCAGATAGGGCCAAGGGGGAGACCTACACATGCCTTGAGTTATGGGGAAATCAGACTACAATGAGAGCAAAGGCTCACTTTCTAGATAGCAAATTACTTGTTCTTTGGATTCAAGTAAAAGATTGTAATAATTAGGATGCTTGTGATTATCAGTAACCAAACACCCAACCCACAGTGGTTTAAACAAAAAGAATTTATTAGCACATGCGATGGGGAAAAACCTTCAGATGAGGCTTGATCAGGGGCTCAAATATGTGAGCAGAGCAGCTTCTGTATCTCCATTTCTCAGAATTTTGATTTCTCGGTGTTGGCTCTCATTTTCTGTAGGATTTCTCCTTGTGGGCTCCAGATGGGGCTAGGGGTTCTCTAAGCAATATGCTTTCCTACAACATCCAAACCAAAGTCCTGACAGTCTCTGTTTCAGACACATGCTCTACCCCTGCAGCTTCTCCTGAACCCTGAGGATACTCACATAGAAACTAGAGGCTGCCAGGAAGGAGGAAGTAGAATTGGATTCTGGAGGGCACCAAGACATGTGCACAGTACAGATTAATGGTCAGCCAAGGTTATATATGGCTGCATCTTCGCTCCATTTTCCTGATAATATCAATATCCACCACTTGAAAAACCAGTCAACACTAAGGTGAAGCCTGGAACATTTGGATTCAACATCAAAATTGAAAGAAAGGCAGGCAAGAATGGTCATATGCATAATTAACCACAATAGACTGTAAGCTCCTTGTGGTAAGGCATGATTTCTTCTTTTCCTTTGTATCCCACATCTTGGTACAGTATCTGAGAGCACTCAATAAACATTCATAAAACTAAAGTGAACTAAACAGGGTGATAAGTGCTCTGTGAAAGGTATAAACGGTGGGCAGGGGATAGTGAGTTCTACCTTAGGGGAAAATAGGTGCCATGAAGACGCACAAAGGGAGTGGCATCAGGCAAGATGTTGAAGCTTTATGTCAGGTGGAGCAGAGGGGCAAATGGTCTTCAGGAAGTGGGGACTGGGCTGGGAGACCTGGACACTGGAGAGCAGGCTTAAGCCCCACCCCCAGAGGTTTCAATTCAATAGGTCTAGGATGGGGTCCCCGATTCTGCCCTTTTACAAGTTCCCAGGTGATGCTGCCCCTGCTGCTTCAGGGACCACACTTTGAGCAGTAAGGCTAGAAGTCGGGCAGAGGACTGGGCACCTCTCTGTTACCTGGTATGCATCTTTGCTTTTGCCCTTAGAATAATATATTGTCACTATTTTTTCCCCGTCCATCTCTTCCAGTGCACCTTAAACTCCTTGAGGAGCAAAGAGTGTGTCTGCATATTTGTATGAACTCCCTAGCGTAGTGCTGGGCACCTAATAGGGTTTCAATAAAACGTTGTTGAATCTGGAAATGAATAAATGAACAAAAGAGGCCAAAGAGAGTGAAGACCATGAAGAACAAGGAAAAAGATGTGTGTGGTCTCCAGAGGGGGAAAGTGGCTCAACAGGGTCAAGATCTAGGGAGTTAAAGGAGATTGGAGATGGGAATTGACCTTGGATTTGGTAGCTGGGGACTCACCAGTGACCCACGAGAGGCAGTGGTCTGTGGGGTGAAGTGGGGAGTGGCAGGCATCCATTACTTATTGTGTGTGGAAGGGAAGGGTAGGAAATGACCGCACAAGTGTGGGAGTTTAGGAGAAATAAGGAGGGTTTAACAACATCCAGTAAGAATAAAGTGATTGAGGTTGTGGGAGAAAATATTAGATAAAATAAGGTACTAGAGGAAGTCTGGGAGTGAATTCCAGAGCACAGATGGAGAAATGAGTTTCAGAAAGGATTAAGGACAGAAAGGATGGGCAAAGCTACAACAGAGTTTGGGCTGGGCAGAGAGTGGAGTTGAGGGATCACTGGGTCACCTAAAAGAAGGCTCAGGGTGAGGGGGGCACCGACAGGATGGTGTATTCGTTTCCTGTGCTGCTGTAACGTTACCACAAATGTAGTGATTTAAAACAACACAAATTTATTACCTTATAGTTCTGGAGGTCAGAAGTCTAAAATGGGTCAACAGGCTTGCATTCCTTCTGGAGAATCTAGAGGAGAATACGTTTCCTTGTGCTTTCCAGCTCCGAGAGGCTGGCCCATGGCCTGCATCACTCTCGTCTCTGCTTGACTCTCCTTTTTCCCTCTTCCAAGGCCTTTGTGAGTACATTGGGGCCGCCCAGATGATCCAGGATTATCTCTCCATCGCAAGACCCTTAACTTAATCACATTTACAAAGTCCCTTCTGTGTGGAAGGGAGCATTTTCACAAGTTCTGGGTATTAGGGTGTGGACATCTTTGGGAAGTCATTATTCTGCCTACCACAGATAGAGACTGGGGACCAGGTGATATGGGGAATAGTGAGAGGTGACTAACAGGCCAAACCTAGTTTCATAAAGGAGGTGGCTGGCATGCCATTTGATCTGCAGCCTGAGAACAAAAGCAAAACAAACACAGTTTTTGGAAAGGCAGGTTCAATAAAAGCTCAAGGGGGATTTGGATAGAATAAGCTAATTCTATCCAAATAGAATAAGCTAACTTATATCCCATAGGGTAAAGGATGGGCATAAAGGTAAATGAAACCAGGAGGAGGCTCACTTATAGGAAGGGGGAGAGGAAAGGCCTTGGTGTCACCTGACCCAAAAAGGTAGGGTCCAAGAATGAGGGTGGCACCATGTGTGGCGTTCAGAGAGGTCCTGTCAGACCTCTGGTTACAGGCCTTCTGTGGCTGTCCAGAGACTCGGGAAAGGGCTTATGAGGCCATTTAAAACCAGGCCCCTGACTGTTGCCTGGCCTCGTAGGGTCACTTTAATCCTTACACCTTGAACAACTATACAGTCTTAGGGACCACAGGTGGGCATTCTCTATCAGGGCACTGAGTTTTTACATATATGCTATGTTCTCCATCTGGAATGTTCTTTCCTAACCAGGACCACCCTTTTTGGGCTGACAGTTGCTTAGGTGTTGCTTTCTTGCCAGTAGTCCTCTCTGACTCCTTTCTTCTGCCTAATCCCAGACATAGCAAATTTCACACTGTCATGAATTTGTCTCTGCTGGTCTCTCTCCCTCTGGATCACCTTGGCTGTGACGCAAATGCTTGAGACACAAGGACCACCTTATCCATCACTGTGTCCCCAGTGCCTGGCATAGTACCTGGCACACAGAAGTCTCTCCACGAATATTTCTTAAGACAGATGAGTTAGTCTTAGTGCCTAAATTTGCAGAGGATTTTACCATTCACAAAGGACTTTTGTTTTAACATCTAATATCTCATTTAATCCTACCAATAACTCTATGATGTGTTATTTTTTCCTCCATTTTACACCAGTCAAAATGGATGCTTTGTTGCAAATGGAGTGTAACCTTTAAAAATTGTATAAAAATTAAAAATAAATTAATCAGTTAAAATCAGAAAAAAAAAAAGAAAAAAGAATGTTTTGAGAGGTTATCTTGCCCCCATCTCACAAGTAGTAAGCGGTAAGTGACAGGTCCAGCACTCTGACTCCCAACCCCCTCCTCTCTTGGCCTGGGGGAGTCACTGAGTAGCCTCCACTTTCAGAAGGCCACAAGGGAAGTGTTCCCAGGTTACAGAAGGCAGGGGAGGGTGGACAAGGGGCACCAATAGTGGTTGAGCTCATGCCAAGTACCAGGCACTGTGTAGGTGTTTTACAGAGATTATCTCACTTGTTCTCCACAACCTTTTCATTTTGTAAACAGAGAAGTTGAAGTTTGGAGAGGTCAAGAACAGTGCTGGTACCAAGGAGCGACTTGGTGAGGTGGCTTTTCATGCCCCCCTTATCTTTATCGGCCCCTCCAGCTTTCAGACGGGCAATGTCCATGTCTTCCACAGGCCATTACAGTCACAATGCCCCACCCCTAAGACTGCCATTTACAGAAAATCTGGGGCTGACACTGGTTAGGGAACTTTCGCAGAGCCATACAGATTAGGCTGAGCTGCCTCATCAACCCAGTCTAATTCCAGCCAATGAGATCTTTTGATCTCAACATGCTAAAAAAATGAGACTGTAAGGCTGTGGCTTGTGAAACAAATGGGCGAGCCGGGGGACACAGTAGAAAGGTAAGCTAGACAAGAAAAGGAGGAGAACTGAACAGAAGGGGAAAGAGAGTGGGAAAGCAGATTGCTGTAGGTATTCCTGTAGGTGCTGAGTGTGGATCCTAGAATGAAGAAGCAAAGGATTAGGAAGCACCCATAATGACGTGAA